AAGGGTGTGCTGTGCTGGTCTTTCCTCTCACCAACAATGTAACAAATCACTTCCATTTTAGGCTGCTGAAATCTGCTGTTTATAGCATAAGTCCACTGCTTGTCAGGGAAGGAGAGCTAAGAAAGGACAACACCAAGAAGGCTGAGCTTTTTAATGCCTATTTTGCTTCAGTCTTCACTAATTGGGACCAGATGTTTAATACAAGCTACAGTAGGGAAAGGACTGGTTAAAGAATATTTTAACAAGCTAGATGTAGGCAAATCAGCAGAACCTGATGAAATTCACTCCTGGGGCATTTAAGAAACTAGCTGAAGCAATCTCAGAACCATTAGTGATTATCTTTGAGAACTCCTGGAGGATGGATGAGGTCCCAGATGACTGGAGAAGGGCAAACATAGTACTGATCTTTAAAAGGGGTAACAAAGAGGACCTGGGAATTATAGACCAGTCAGCCTAACTTTGATTCCTGGAAAGATACTGGAACAAATTATTAAATGATCAATTTGTAAGCATCTAGAGGATAATAGGATTGGAAGGAATAGCCAGCATGGATTTGTCAAGAACAAATCATGTCAAACCAATCTATTTTCCTTCTTTAAAAGAGCTACTGGCCTCATGGATAGTAGGGAAGAAGTAGTGATGGATTTTAATAAGGCTTTTGACACAGCCCCACGTGACATTCTCATAAGCCAACTAGGGAAATGGAGTCTAGATAAAATTACTATAAGATGGGAGCCTAACTGGTTGAAAACTCACACTCAGAGAGTAGTTATCAATGGTTTGCTGTCAAAGGGCAAGGACGTATCTAGTGGGGTCCCACAGGAGACTGTCCTGGTTCCAATACCAGTCAATATTTTCATTAATGACTTGGATAATAGAGTGGAAAGTAGGCTTATAAAATTTGTGGGTGACACCAAGCTGGGAGAGGTTGCAAGCACTTTGGAGGACAGGATTAGAATTAACGATGACTTTGAAGAATTGATCTTAAATCATCAAGATTAAATTCAGTAAAGACATACAAAGTACTACACTTATGAAGAAAAAATCAAATGAACAACTACAAAATGGGGAAATAACTGACTAGGCTGTAATACCGCTGAAAAAGTTCAGGGAGTTATAGTGGATCACAAATTGAGTGTGAGCCAACAATGTGATGCAGCTGCTAAAAAGGCTAATATTCTAGGGTATATTAACCAGAGTGTTGTGTGTAAACCTGGGGGGTAATTGTCCTGCTCTACTTGGCACTGGTGAGGCCTCAGCTGGAGTAATGTGTCCTTTAAGGAAGATGTGGACAAACTGGAAAAGAGAGTCCAAAGAAGAGCAACAGAAATGACCTATGAGGAAAGTAAAAAAAAACTGGGCATGTTTAGTCTTGGGAAAAAAAAAAAAGACTGAAAAGTAACCTGATAAACAAATATGTTGTGGTCTGATATAAAGGAGACAGTCATTGATTGTTCTTCATGGCCACTGAAGGTAGGACAAGAAGTAATGGGATTAATCTGCAGCAAGGGAGATTTAGGTTAGATAAAAAGTTTTTCCCAATAGCTCTAAGGTTAGTTAAACACTGGAATAGGCTCCTAAGGGAGGTTGTGGCATCGCAGTCATTGGAGGTTTTCAAGAACAGGTTAGATAAACACCTGTCAGGGATGGTCTAGGTTTACTTGGTCATTCCTCAGTGCAGGGGACTGGACTAGATGACCTCTCGAGGTCCCTTCCAGCCCTAATTTCTAAAATTCTATTATTAGGGCCCTAGTGTCTGTATTTGCAATGGGAAAATGACCATTTAGCATAGCAAATGAGATGACCTAACTATCTTTTGTAGTAAATCATAAATTTTCTTGTAGCTAAAATCATACATGGGGCAAAACCCAGTTACAGTCTGTGAATAAAAGCACAGTTTGGTATTCATGAAATCTATACATTAGTTAAAAAGCTAATTACATTTAAAACATATATCAATTAATAGAAATATCATCCCTTCATTAATGACCAATAACCCAAGGACTCCTCCTGTAAGGAGTACAAACTCTGGCATAAAGCTGAAGAAATCCAAATAGAAATGGCAAGTTTTGTGGTAAAGATATGAAATGTAGGTTCCTTATTTTTTCTGCCATAAAAATATGTGCAGGGAGCCTACAAAGAATATATATTTTTCACTGATAATATACTTTCATGGTCTAGAAAGCTCAGTTTACATACATTTTTTATATAACTCATAAAGCTACTCTGTATCACACTGTGAAAACATCTGTTTTTGGAAAAATCATTAACAATTCCTGTAATGATTTGCAGCCTTCTGAACTCAGCAGGGCCACCCTCAGACAACTCCTGAGCCCAAAAGACGTTTGAAAATTCTGGGCATTGTTATGCTATCCAGCTGACTGACAGTCTTGACTCCCAGGTTCTAGTTTTAATTTTCACAAAGTCACTGTTTGACTTGTCACCTTGGGCAAGTCACTGAGGCCACTTTCAAACTTGAGATCAACATCTTTATTTAATTAGCTAAGACAGCGGCCTGATGTGCAGAGGTGTTGAACATTCACAGATCCCAGAACCATACAATCAGTGTAATGAGATCTACCTGCCTCACAGGTATGTGGTGTGAGGCTTTTAGACCCTTGGATGAAAGGCAGCCTATCAATGCAAATTACTATTTTTACATGCAAACGTTTATCTTCTGCTATCCCCGTCCCTCTTTCCACACTTCTGTTCCCCCCTCCCCAAATAGCAAAAAATGTTAAGAAAATGCAGTGGCTCTGTGACTGACAGCAGGAGCCACAGAGTGGGGCAGATTGCAAGAATCTGCAGGTTCCACGCATGCTTGAAGTTTCCACTCATCAGAGATGAGGAGAGTTATAACAAACGTTTCAGCAATACTGTATGAATAAATTGCCCTGCTGCCTCTGCCATCTCAAAACTAATCTGAGTAGTGGGAATCCATCTTAGTTCCTCCTGAATGTCCCTATTGACCACCCTGCTGAGAGATCTCTACATTGCTATCCACAGGCATAGGACTTGATTGGCCTAGCAGGAGCTTATTTTCATACTAAGTGACTCTGGGACTGTTTTTATAGCAGAAGTCATGATTCTTAGCTGTCAGATCTAGCACCACAGCCCCTACCATGCCTCTTCTGTACCTCTATTAAAGCTGCAGTATTCATGTAGATGGGTGGCAAATCACCTCTGAGCTGACTTCCTCTCCTACGTGGTCCATATGTAAGCAGAGTCAGGATGAGCTCTACCCTGACATCTGGTGGTGAATTATGGCGAGTGTGGAAAAGAACTCCAGGGGCTGATCTTGTTTGCATAGGCACACCCACTCGCCTGGCATGAAACACAGCAACTGAAAGTGGTTACTTTGGCTGGTGTGGGATCCCCAGTTTCTCTGGAAGAATAAAGTTTTGTTACCCTGATTCTGTGAATCAAGGCCAGTGGAACTGTTGTATGACAGAAGGACTGAGTGAGTCCTTCACCATTACCTAAGTAGCACTTGCTTGACAAGGGGCATGGGTTACAAAACCCAGTGAATTGAGAAAGGATGGGGACAGGTATTTGTACCTGATGGTATGGGCCCCCTCTGAGGGTTTGAAACACCAATTGCACCGTCTCCTCTCTCCAGTGTTGAATGTCAGAGCTAACTTTGATTCCCTTAGGAGTCTAGTTACAGGCTGCTGAGCTGAATTCACTTGGGGCCAAGGGTGCACCAGCACTGGGGCTCCCCTACTATACTATAAGCTGAAATCACAAAAGAGCTGAGATCACTGAGTGCTGTGTTAACTAGTGGGGGAGCCTGAAGCTATATTGCTCAGCAGCTGGCGGAGCAATTTGTGGGGACGACTGGAGGAGCAGCGAGCGGTGTGGAGCCTTGCGGGGCCGGTTGGAGTGGCCCAAGGAATGGCGAGCGGAGCTGTTTGCGGGGACGGCTGGAACGGCTCACAGGTCAGTGAGCGGAGTGGAGCAGCTTGTAGAGCGGAGCAGTTCGTGGGATGGCAGGAAAGTGGACTGGCTCGTGGTAAAGGCTGCGGCGGAACCCCACGGAGAAACAGACGGCTGGCCAGCCTCGGATCATGTAAGGTGCCCCTTAACACCCTGTGTGCCCCCCCCCTTTTACTCTGGGGCTGTACTGACCAGGGACAGAGACTTTGGGGGTTGTGGGACTTTTGGGACTTTGGGTGGTTGCTGGACCCAAGAGACTTTGGGGGTGTGGGACTCTGGGTGATTTTTGGGTTGCTGGATTCAAGAACCAAAGGGAAAGGACACAGCCCAATTTGCTGGGGTGGGTTTTGCTGATGGTTTGTGTTATGAATCCTGTTTGTGGTGTTTTTCCAATTTTATGCTGATGTCGTTTACCTCACGTTATTAAACATTTTCTGCTACACTCAGACTCCGTGCTTGCGAGAGGGGAAGTATTGCCTCTTAGAGGTACCCAGGGGGGTGGTATGTAATTGTCCCAGGTCACTGGGTGGGGGCTCGAGCCGGTTTTGCATTGCGTTATTGAAACGGAACCCCTAGATACAGAACCCGGCCCTTGTTGCTGCCAACTAGATGGGCAGAAGGGTTACACATACATGGAAGCAGGGTGGGGAGAAAAATCTTCCCGCACCTTATGAAAGCTTCTATTGGTCCCACACATAGGACTGGGAGCTCCCTAACCCTTCAAAGTCAGGACCCAATGGCTCCATGCATGACAGAAGGTTTGCTGGGTTCAGCACTCTCCCCAGCTTTCTGCAGCACATGCTTTCCCACCAACTGCTGTCAAATAAGGGACAATACAGGGGAACATTCTGTTAAAAAAATAAAATAAAAAAAAAAATCACACAAAACAGGGTTGATGTGTAGCAAAGGCCCTGCTTTTGGCTGCTTACATAGGAACAGAATACACACACAGTGATAGAACCATGATATTAGCAGTAACATAGTCATTCTGGGAATATAGTTACCTCCCAAAGAAAAAACAGGTTGAAATTTAACAAATGAGAAGTTTTTCTTTTTTTTATATATAAAGGAACAGACTCCAGGAATCACTGACTTTTGTTAACATTTCCTTTGTCAAAAACCCAGTTTTTGGTCCATAAGAAAATTCAACAATGATTTTGAATAAAAAAACATTGAAAAATAGGTCTGTTTCAAACCTGCAAAATTGAAAGTATTGCAAAAAAATTAAATTTTGAAGCTTTTTTAAAAATCAGCTCTAGTTATTGCTAATATACTCTGGGCCAAGTTGCCCTGTTAAACTTTTATTGCATCCTGTATCCATGCTTCTCTATGCGTAGTGTGTGTCACTGTGCAGAGCTAGTGCAGCTGGGTAATGCTGGCAGATTTGTAGAATCACCACCAGTTTTCTCACCACCTAGATTAGCCTGGGAGAGGGGATAAAAGAAGCACCTGACCAGACTGGTTGGAATAGAGCTCCAGGAGGGCCACCATACACTTTTGGCACAGTGGTGGCACTACTAGATCAGAATGATCTCTGGCAGCATTTAATTTCTTCCAGGAAGGAGGAACCAAGTACAGCACTTGATAGCAAGATTGGGTGTCTTTCCAAAAGGTATGCTGTAATTCAACCACAAGCCGTTGAACTAGATTCAGGAGCTACTGGGTGAAATTTGTGGCTTGTGTTGTGCAGAAGGTCAGACCGGACAACTATAATGGTCCCTTGCTGGCCTTAATCTGTGAATTCGTGAACACAGAACTCCTCTCTACCATGTGAAGCAAGAGAATTAGACAATCTATGGTGGCTTTATAGGGCAAGAATAAAGAAAACTTGTGTTTAAGCCCTAGAAAGAAATGTATTGCCTTATTATTTTGCTAGACTACGTGATGTTTTTAAAAAGTAAAATGTGAAGAAATACCTTCCCAGCAGTCAGAGTAAGACTTTGCAGAGTAGCTGTCGTGTTAACATAGCTTTGCTTTTTTGTGTTACTCTGCTGTTATAAATGTTTGGTTCAATTAACTAAAGTCCTTTAAAGCAATTACTAGAATGACAACATTCACTCATTAAAGCATATTAAGATCTGTAGTGCCTATTTTTGCAGCTGGTAAATTTTGGCTCTTCAAAAGTTAATGCTGGACTTGCTCACGACGGGCACCAGAATGCATTGCTTAGATGGGGCAAGCAGGATAATTTTCATCTGGCTTTATCTACAGAGAAACAAGGAAGACAATATGATATAATCTTTCAAAAGACAGACTCGCTACTTTGCCATTTGTCTCCCAAAGTGGTAATAACAGAGGGAGAGCACTAAGAACTGGAAAGAATGATTACAGCTCCCTTGCTCTGTTGCAGCTTTAGCCTTTGTTGCTGTCTGTTACAAGAGTTCTCTCCCTTATGACAGAGGAAAACAAATAACATGCTGTTCATTGTTGCTCTGGATGAAGCTTCACACTGCTGGAGACGTTCACAGAACCATAGAAATTAAAGATAGAAAAGATAAGTCCATAATCCTGCCATTGCAGGTTTGTTCCCAGCAGTATATTTATTCATTAGTGCCTTCTATAGCTGCGTTTTACGTGAGGCAAGTAATGGAGCTTGTTCCCTGTCCCTTGGGATACTGTTCCACAGGCTAGCAGACCTCACTATTAGCAAATTTCTCCCCCAGTCTTCAGCCTAAGTTTTCCTTTGCTTACTTTCATCTGATGACTCCTACATGCCTGGCCCATCTACAATTATTCCCCTGCCACGGGGCATACACCTTTCACATACTTGTTGTTTGTGGTCATTTTGCCCCCTCGTTACTGTTTAGTGAAACTATAACTTTTTAAAAATTTCTTTCTGAGTTGATCCCTTCTGCTTCTTAAACACTTAATGGCATTTTTCTGTAGGAAAGAAAATATGTGACCAATACCCTTCTAGTGGAGCCCATCTTCCTTGAGGCAAAGGTGCTGAAGTAGTGCTGTAGTAGTCACCATCAAAAAAATGACATTTACCAACAGTTGCCACAAGCGGTATCTGAAATAAACCTGCATTGCTCTGTTTAGAATAGGGAATAACAAAAAGAACTGTAACTTAGATACTAAGGTGTGGTAAGTTGGTTAATGCAACTCACTTTACTAATGCACATTGTACAAGTGTGTCTACCTAGCATGCTTACTAAAGAGTATGAAATGTATATCATCATAATTAATACTGGGCAATTACACAGTGTCTTCACTCACCAAAGCATTTTATACACAAACATACCCATTAGGTAGGTAGGGCCTTCTTATGCCTTTTGAATATATGGGGAAACTGAGACAGACAAGTTAAATGATTTGCACTAAGTCATACCGTGAGTAAGAAGCAGAACTGGGGATGGAGAAGATTCCTGCTCTGTCACTGGGGCTGCACTGCCCTATTATCATAGTCAGTCAGTCGATATTAACTTCTTTCTTCCGTCTTGTATCTTCTGAGTCAACTAAAATGTCTCTGACATGGTGCTCATCTGTCTCTTCTGACAGAGGTTTATGTGCTTGCCAGAAACATTATAGCCCTTGGCAAGTGTATTGACTATGAAACAGGGGGGCTGGTAACATTCTTTTTTTTTTTTTTAAAGCTCATTTCACTAAAAAAACATCGGGTTATTTCAAAATTTTCTGTAAAATTCTGTGTTGGATTTTAAGCCATTCTGTGTTCAGATTTTGTTACTGCTCCTTTTGCTATCTCAGACCTTTTCTACACTACCGGGGTAAGTCGACCTAAGTTATGCTACTCCAGCTACGTGAATAACGTCGCTGGAATTGATGTAATTTAGGTCAACTTACTGCAGTGCCTACACCGCGCTGCATCAATGGGAGATGCTCTCGTTCTGGTGGAATACCGGAGTCAACCGGAGAGCGCTCTGCAGAGATCCACTAAATTGACCCTGCTGCATCGATTGCAGCAGCGTCAATCCCCATTAAGTGTAGACATGACCTCAGACATAGCTCCTTAAAAAGGGGTGTGTTATCTCAGCAATGGACTCAGCTCAACTTTTTCATTGTTCCTCAGATTCAAGTTTCATTCAAGCACTTAATTCATCCAGGCTCCAGCTCAGTTATCCCATAGGATTTCCTCTGTTTGAAGCTTTCATCAGCAAAGGTCTCCCAAGCATGGGCTATAGAACCTGCCATATGTTTTCATCAAAATTAAAGATACAGGGCACCCACTCTCCAGGAGTGTTCAGCCCACATGAACCTGTCACATACAAGAGGGGTTGCAATATTTGTTCTGCATATTTTCAGAAAGGTGCAGAAAGGAAAGTAGGAAAGAGTTACCTGGGAGAGCCACACTTTAGGGATACGTCTATTTTCCTCCCCTGCTGGTCTGGACTGAGCCCACTTCTCCATATGGTGCTCGCTCAACAGGGACAGGCTGGCAAACCTATAAGAGAACAGTTCAGTTCTTTCTTATTTGTTTCCCTCTGCATTTGCAAATTGCACACAACCGAAATAGAAGCCTGTTATTTCCTAGCTCCGTATTTTATGCCTCACAACATTTTCAACATCTCTCTTGAAAATCCCAACCTACAGTATTTCAAAGTGCCCAAGAGAGTCTGACACTCAACTCCTATCAACCTTTAATTGGGGTTGGTTGGCTAACTCCTTTAAATGCTGTTGAAGCCATTTTTAGGAACAACTGGCCTTCTCCCATCTCATTTTACTGTCACTCCCCTACCACTCCCAGCCCGTAATCTAAACAGAGCCTAGAGTGTTGGGGGATCTCTCAGTAATTAGTCAATGTTGCTCTGACTACAGGCAAGACAAGTGGGTGCATAGCAGGGATACAAGATGTCCCCTCCCCTGCAGATCTGCACACCACCCCTCCAGCATTTCTAGCTCTTGTCGAAAAGAGATCAAGTTTGGTTGAAGTCACTTGTAAAGACATTTGCTCTTCATGTTTTGTTTAGGGAAAATTCTCCCTAGTTCTTTCTGATGGGAAATGTAAACTGGCACAGTTACTGTAGTCTCAGAAATCCTGTGACTGCCAAGTCTGTCCTTAGTTCAATTGTGAATTTGCCTCTGAAAAGATACATACAGTCCAGTTTTGTTCTTTTGTTTTTCCAGTGCCACAACTAATCTCAATCCCATGTGCGGGTTGCTGCTTTAGCCATAATACCAGAATCTGGATGTAATGGTGTTCTGATACCAAGGCTCAGCACTGCTGTGGAGACCCACTAAATGAGCCTCTCATTACGTATTAAATAAATCATGGACCTTTCCCAGACGTGTAGATGAACATCCTGTGTATTTGCTGATGTAATATGGCTCCAGAAATGGTTTCAGTAGTAAACTAGCATTAGCATTAAATGTCATTTATTTTGCATTAGAAACCCACAGAGCCAAAGATAAACAATGAAGACAGAGTACTAGTAATAAAGTGCCCTGGCTTGCAAAGTGCTGAATATTTCTAGCTTCCAATGAAATCAGTGGAATTCAGGGCACACTGCACCTTGCCGGTGATGCTCAACACCTCGCAGGATTGGGCCAAAGGTGACAGTTGTTAAGCAGAGCTGTGGAAAAAGCTTGACTACTTTAGGAATGTTTGAGAAAGTACAATATATAGATGCATTATGTAAAGCAGAGGTTCCCAAACACAAAATTCTTATAAACATTGAAAGGGGAACATAATGTATACAAGAACCTGGGGAGATGTTTAAATGAAGGGCTTGATTTCAAGGCAAATATCAGGCAAAGAATCAAGAATACTCTGGGTCAGATCCTCATTTGGTGTAGATCGAGATCACTCCATTTTACCCAATTGACACCAATCTATACCATCTATATAAGAACGGTATAGGATCCAGGCCTTCTTTTTCATTTGTGAAACTAAACAAACAGTAATCTTTTAATTCTCAGTAAAAAGAATATATGTTTTTAGGAGGTTGGCAGAGAGAAAAAAGCATTTTGTAACCCTGTTTGTATTATGTATGTTAATTAGCAGGCAGGCTACCAATTCCTACAGGAAATGCGTTTACAGAGAGGAAGTCAGTTGGAAGAGAGAGAGAGAGAGAGAGAGAGACCTACTTAACCTTTGGCGCATATATTTCATCAGGCCAGCAAGGGGGAAGTACTGGAGCAAACAATATGCCCAATTAATTGGTTTGGAAACATTTCAAACAGCAAAAAGCTCACACGTATGTTGATCTGTTTCAGCGCTAAGAAAGTGTTATGAATATTATTGATTCAGGGCAGGATTTTCAAAAGCACCTAAGTGCTTTAAAAGTACAAGTCACTTGGGTGTTTTTGAAATCTCCCCCCACCCCCAGAGTCAGCAGTGCTAAGACAGAAAAAATATTTCTCATGGCCAGTACATGACCAGTGAACAGGCATAAAATAGTCAATCTAAGTGTTTCACAGATTTCCTCCTTTAGTAATTTAGACACTGAGAACTTGATCATGGAAAATGCTGAGCATCAGTTTGATCCAGCAAAGCATTAAGCACATGCTTAACTTTAAGCATATGTGTAGTTCCACTGCTGGAACTGCATTACTGGATCATAGAATCATAGATATGTAGAACTGCTAAGGACCTCGATAGGTCATCTAGTACAGTCCCTTGCACCAAGGCAGGACTAAGGATTATCTAGACCTGACAAGCATTCATCTAACCTGTTCTTAAAAATCTCCAATGACAGAGTCCACAATGTCTCTAGGTAATTTGTCCCATTGCTTAATCTGGTCCTCCAATGAGCTTGCAAACCCTCCCAGCTTGGTATTGTCTGCAAACTTTATGAGTGTACTCTCTATGCCATTATCCAAATAATTTATGAAGATATGGAATAGACCCAGACCCAGGACAGATCCCTGCGAGACCCCATTTGATATGCCCTTCCTGCTTGATTGTGAACCATTGATAACTGCTCTAAGTAAACTTTTCCAACCAGATGTGCACTCACCTTATAGTAAATTTAACTAGACTATATTTCCCTAATTTGTTTATGAGAAGGTCATGTGAGACAGAATCAAAAGCCTTACTAAAGTTGAGATATATCACATCTACTGCTTTCCCCTTATCCACAAGCTTGTTACCCTGTCAAAGAAGGATTTTAAGTTGGTTTGACATGATTTGTTCTTAATACATGCTGACTGTTTCTTATTTTCTTCTACATGCCTACAAATTGATTGTTTGCTCCATTATCTTTCCAGATACCCAAGTTAAGCTGACTGGTCTGTAATTACCTGGGTTGTCCTTATTCCCTTTTTTATAGATAGGTGCTATATTTGCCCCTTTCCAGTCCTCTAGGATCTCTCCTGTCCTTCATAAATTCTCAAAGATAATCACTAATGACTCAGAGATGTCTTCAGTCAGTTCCTTAAGTATTCTGGGAGATATTTCATCAGGCCCTGCCAACGTGAAGACATCTCGCTTGTTTAAATTATTCTTAACTTGTTCTTTACCTATTTGAGCCTCAAATCCTACAGTCTTCAGCACCTTGCAGGATTGATCCCCAAATATCTAACTATGAAAGAGCTAGAAAACTGCTGATATTTTTTCACAATTTAGGATCTCATTCTGTGAGGTGCTGAACATCTATAACTTCTGTTAAGTCAATGGCGATTACAGGTGCTCAGAGCTTTTCATGATTAGATCAGTGTGACCACCTGTACAATAAATGGGACCAAGATTTCAAAGGCACATGATCCCAACCTCCAACTTACACTGATATACCTGAGAACTGGAGTTAGCCCCGGGTGTTTGTGTGTGAAAAGAGGAAGAGCAATAAAACTCCAACCTACAGGTTCACTTTCTCCAGTCTGGGCACATTTTGATCACAAAGGCAAGTGAAATAACCACAGAAACCCAGACCTCACCCCCCCCCCAAAGCTAGTTTTCCTCATATTGCACAAAGATTGCAAGCACTACAGCAATGTATTGTTTTAATTAACCTCATCCCGCTGCTTGATTCTTTTGTAGACATATTCAGGGAATGGTTTACGTGTAATGTATTTTCCGTCTCCTGCTGTGACATTGAAAACTCCATCTTCATACACCACTTTGCCTCTTGAAATTGTCACAAGCGGGAGTCCATGGCAGATCATTCCTTCAAATATATTGAAATTGTTGGCATGGTGATGTGTCTTTGCAGATATAGTCCTGTGTTTTCAAAACAAACAGAAACCCAAACAAGTTACTATTATCCTTACATTCTACTCCAACAAAAAGCACCAAGAAATGGAGGGGGAGAGAATTTAGCAGCATTATTAAACTGCAGCTTTGCACTATACATCAGGGAAGCAGCTGTAAAAATAGAATACAGCATTAACATTTCATTGAAAAGTAATTGCATTTCAAAAGAATAAAAAGGGGTTTCAAATGGAAGGGACTTTGCAGCCTTAAATGCAGAATTTTCCACTGCAAAGAGGTTAGTGAAAAAAAAACAGATCAGATCCTTATTTTTGGACTGATCTCATAATTCAACAAATAAGTCTACGTTCAAAATTACAGCCTGGAAAAAAATGTGTCCTTTCAACCAAAGTGAGCTTGCAACCTCTGGTTTGAAAAGTTTGGCTCTGGCAAGTAAGAGATTGAGAAGTATTAACAAGACAAGACCTTGGAGAGTCAGAAGTTGGTAATGAATATTGGTCACTGCTAGACAGGCCTGGATTTGACCTGGTGACCTAGAGCTCAACACCATGTCCCTTTGCTATGTTACTTTACTATACTGGGGCTATGATAATACTACTTTCCACTTTTGTAGAACCATTCCTTCAAGGATATAAAGCAATTTATGTTAATTAAACATCACAATACTTCTTTGAGGTAGATGAGCATTATTATCTTCAGTTTATAGATGGGTAGACTCAGGGTATGTCTACACTACGGGATTAATCCGAATTTAGATAATTCGAATTTGGGAAACAGATTGTATAAATTCGATTGTGCGCGGCCACACTAAGCACATTAATTCGGTTTTTAACCACATTAATTCGGTGGTGTGCGGCCACACTACCCCATTAATTTTAACCACATTAATTCGGTGGTGGCGGCCACACTAACCCTAATTCGAATTAACAAAATCGATTTTGGCGCTACTCCGCTCGTCGAGGTGGAGTACAGAAATCGATTTAAAGCGCCCTTTAATTCGAACTAAATGGCTCTGTTGTGTGGACGGGTGAAGGGTTAATTCGAATTAACGCTGCTAAATCCGAATTAATCCCGTAGTGTAGACCAGGCCTAAGAGACAGAACTAAGGGTATGTCTACCCAGTGAGCAGTTGCAAGTCTCAGAGGCCAGACCAACAGACCTGCGCTCATGCTATGGCACTAAAAATAGCTGCGTAAATGTTTGGGCTGGAGCTTGGGGTCTGAAACTTAAGGAAGGGGAGGGGCTTCAAAGCCCGAACTCCAGCCCAAGTCACAATGCCTACACAACTATTTTTAGTGCCATAGCCCAAGCCCGAGTCTGTCAACCTGGCCTGTGAGACTTGCTGTATAGATGAATCCTAAGAGATGAAAGGATTGTCTAAATGAGGAAATGGATCAGAATAACTCTTCTGTAATAGCTCCCTGTGTGGACATTCTATTCTGGAATAAAAATCACCATCTTCTAGAATAATTAGCATGATTTATGTATAGCTTATTCTGCAATAGCTATTTCCGTACTGACAAGCCCTAAATTGCTACAGAGTCAGCAGCAGAGCTGAGATTAGAACTCAAATGTCCTGGCTCTTTTCCTCTGGGCCAGACACATGGCCTCCCGTTAAGTGTATGATGGGGAGTGTGATTTTTATTTAGTTATTTTTCATTTCCTCTCTGAGCTTTATTTTTACTTGGGCATTTTTCCTTTTTATTGTTTACATTTACGTTTTCACTTACTGAACATCGTTTGGAAGTAGCCAGAGATCTTCAGCCTTGGCCACTCATGTTGTACAAAAAAGTATTATGTATGTGAAAACACAGCCCTTAACATTATTTCAGAGGCCTTGTTTTGTGAAAGAGTTTTCAAAGAGAAAGCTAAGATGGTATTCCCTATGTTCATCAGTTTCCAGAAGAGCAATTATAAGCAATTATATTTTTAATAAGAGCAATACTAAAAATCTTAATACCTGACTGACTTTGAATAAGTATTTTCTTGAGGGTTTACCATTTTCAATAGTGTTCATGCATCAAGTACTTTAAAGGATTAATTAGGCAAACAGATGCAGGAAAATCTTAGTGACTGCATTACCACACTTTTCCGATTTTTTTGGAAGAACGTGTAGTTATCCTTTCATATTGATCTGTAAATCATGAAGACTTAGTGGACGTGATTGCTTTTAAGTGTGATAGCGAATCTCAGTGGCAGCTGACTTTTCATTAGATACCTCACATGCGCTGTATTCTTAATGGCTGCTTTGCCCAAGGGAAAAGATGCTCTTTATTTAGCACGCTTTAAGTAGAAAACAGACAAATACACATGCTTCAGTGTCAAGATCATCTTCTTGGTTATACGCATCTCCAAGATTGAAGAGATGGAAGGAAAAGCTCAAGAACATTCTCTCAATATTGATCAATCCCACCAAAAACTTTGAACCCATACACCCACAGGCGTTAACAATAACTATAGAAAGAGTGCGTCTCTGTGAGCAGCTTTCTGCTGTACCTTTATGGTTACAACTGACACAGTGGTGAGTAACAGTGCCCATGATGGAATTATCTTTAGGGATCATATCCTATCAGACATTAGCACTGAGCCACTAAACTTTGGAAAGGTGTCAAAAAGATGTGGAAGGTAGCTAAAATCCTTACACTCATCATGGAGGCTACTTCAGCATACTATAGCAGAGGCACACTAGGTGGGCATATCGCTGAACAAAAAGAGACACACGAAATTCATGGGAGATGGCACAAGTAAGAAAGAAATCCAATGGCAGTGATAAAATGTACTAGATGACATAATGGATTTTCTGGAGGCTGCCTTCCACAAAGCTCCTTTACAGCAGTGTAATACAAGTATTAATCTTCAGAAAGTACAGCATGATCTAAATACAGTCTCCTTAATAGCCCTTGATAAAATAAATTAATTGATTGATTTTAAAAAACCCTTTGGGGGAGGGATAACTCAGTGGTTTGAGCATTGGCCTGCTAAACCCAGGGTTGAGAGTTCAATCCTTGAGGGGGCCACTTAGGGATCTGGGGCAAAAATCAGTACTTGGTCCTACTAGTGAAGGCAGGGGGCTGGACTCGACTCGATGACCTTTCAAGGTCCCTTCCAGTTCTAGGAGATAGGATATCTTCATTAATTTAACCCTCCACAGTCACGTGTGACCCTTTGGAATCCCTGGTAATAGCCTCAACAGTTGAAATGTCCCAGGACATGCAGAAGTAGAAAGAATGAATGAACACCTGATTAAACAGAAGCCAGAGAAGCACTGATTGACCCGGAGAGCATAACAATACAATTTTGCATCAAAGTGTTTTCTGTTATCATTGACAAGATCAGCACTAAGCAGCATTACCAGGAAGCTTCTGAAAGTTCCTGTATTTTCTTTGAATGATATTGACTGCTCAGCTAATGGAACTTAGATTGAAAATTGGCAGCAGCAGTTCAAATGCAAGTGCCCAAATCTGCCATCTTTATTGGGGCTGAAACTGGTCCCATTTTGACAATGGGATTTCTGGTGGATTAAGGAATTACTCAATGTAAGGAAGGTATAATCTGACTGCAAGCATCAAAGACCTGAACAAGAGAGTACATTGATGAATTTAAGTACTCCAACTTTGGTTACTAATTACATAGGTTCTTGTTCCAGGCTAGACATTATCAAATGCAGACTGAGATCAGCCATAGTGGGACAGAATGAACACAGCCATTTGGTTTAGTAGGGTTATTGAAGTAATCAGGCCTGGTTCTTCTCTTGCTCACATCACTGGAACTATACTGACTTCAGTAAAGCTACTTTGGATTTTGAGTGAGTGAGTGAGTGTGCGTATATAGAGAAGAATAAGATCTTCTGAAAATATCATTGCACATGTGTTACACACACACACACAATTGTATGTTTCCTAGTTTTTTAATGATACCTTTCACCATGGTATCTAATTGCTGGTATTTAATGTATGAAGTGTTCAAAATTATGCTCACACTTCAAAGGGGCTAAGAGCACCATGACAGCACAAGTTGCTCTGCTAATGTGTTGTGTTTCTCTTTCTTATGAATAACAACAAGCAGTCTCTTGGCAAAAAGTCGTTACCTTGTGTGGCTTTCCCCCATGTGCAGCTGGGGCTGAGGATTGACAAAAAACGTGACAGATACAGGCTGCAGATTTTTTTTTTTTTAAATGAGTGCAGATTTGTCCACCAACATTAGATAAATGCATAGGCATTTAGTGCCTGATCCTGAGCCTATTGAAGTCAACATAAAGGCTCCAATTGATTTCAGTGAGCTTTAGATTAAGCCCGTTAAAGCCTGACCCTGCAAGCAGCTCTGCTTCCATTGCCTTTGCAGGGCCAGATCACTACTTGTCCATGTCTCTCAGGCATTAAAAGGTGTCAGCGAAACAACAGTGTGTGTGTTCGTATGCACACATTGCTGTGTGCTTCCCCACTGTCCCTCCCATTTGGAATGTAGCACTTAATTGCTTCTGTTTCACTGGGGTTTGAGTTGTCAAAATGCACACACACAATACAACAGCCAATGAGAGCAATTGGGAGTGAGGGGGGAGTTTCAATCAACATGTATTGCACGTTCATGGGCAAAGCCTGAATTAAAAATAATAAAGGTCAGTGAGTACAACACTGCACGTCTGCTACCCACACACATTTTCCCTAAGACTCTTCACTCAACACTTAAGTACAAGATGTACTGGGGTGCTGTGTGTGTTGGGGTCTGTAAGAAGATGCCATGTAGCATAAATACTATAACATTACAGTTCTTTTCCTATCCAAGTGCTGTTTAATGAATACTTAAGTATAGGAGCTTAAAATAATCCTAAATTGGTAGAAAATAAGTTACTGCTGCCTTGGGCTTCCAAGTAATTTTTATTACATCTTTTCTAGTATTTTTAATTAGTTTGTACATTTGACATGTCTCTGGTCAGACTGCTTGCTGCTGTGCAGAAAGTATTACAACTAGGAGACTGAGGTTTGTAAATACATACACTGAGAATTATGCACCACACTTTTTCTGCAAAAATAACTAGTGAATCCTGCAGAAATAGGCCAAAGATTTCAATGTGAAATGGACCCTTAAAATGAAAGTCTTGGCCAGACTGGTGGAGTGTTGGAAATGGAACCTGTGTCAACTGCAATAGCTACTGGCTCACTGAGCTGTCAGTCTGAATCCACTAGATTCTTATAACCTGAGGAAGAAAAGCAAAGGAAAGCAAAACACTCAGCATGCACCAAAAACACCCAACTTGCTGTTACTGTGCAATGACACAGAAGGGCTAATGCAGCTGATTTTGTAGGTTTTTTTTAACTGCCTCACATCACCACTGGTAATCTTTCAGAGAGATGTCAGAATCTCCCCTGCGGGCCTCCTCTGCCAGGCTCCACTCCCAATTCTCCATAGTTATGAATCAGCACTTGTCCAGTTCTTTCCGCTGGTAACATCCAGTGCTTTAAAACTGCAGCCCCATTGCATCCTACATGGGGGCCTGGACTGAGGCATGTTAGTGACGTTAATGATTTTGTTTCAAATGAGCCAGCATCTAACCTTTATTAATAAATAAGAATGCAGCTATTATGAAATTTCAAATCATTGCCAAAATGCAACAAAGCTCACGAGGTTGGCTGTGCATAATATTTCAAATGGTTGAAGGCTGTCAGCTAGTTTCATTTTTCCAGTAGGTTGTGTGTGCCCTCTTCAGGATTTTTGGTGAAACATATAAAGATGCTACTAGTGAGAATTAGCATCACCTGTATACTTAGGCGATGCCTACACTACAGACCTTACAGCAGCACAGCTATACCGCTGCAGCTGCTCCACTATAAGGTCTCCTATGTAGCCGCTCTATACCAAGGGGAGAGCTCTCCCGTCGGCATAATTAAACCACCCATCAATGAGCAGCAGTAGCAATGTTGGTGGGAGAGCGTCTCCTGCTGACACAGCACTGTCCACATCGGCGTGTCTGTCGGTGAAACTTATGTCAGTCGGGGTGTGTGTGTGTGTGTGTGTGTGTGTTTATTTCACAGTCCTGACTGATAGAAGTTTTACCGACAAAAGTGCTAGTGTAGACATAGCTTTAGTAATGTACTCATCTCACAACCACTGTATGGGCTCAATCCTGCTCCTGTTACACTCAAAGGCAAAGCTCCCATCCCATGCAACAGGAACAGGATCAGATCCTAAACAAAATATGCATTTTCTTAACTTAAAATTCATCTGCTCAAATAAGGAAGCAGAGCCTTGCTGACTGAAGAGTCACCCACAGGAAAACGGCACCTTTGTAGTTGGAGGTGAAACCTGTTGTGGCAAAGAACTTATAACATACACTCACCAGTGGGTGACACTAACTTAACTGGTTGGGATAGGGGCAGAATGAGGCCTGGGCTCCACCCTCTTAGACTAGGCACTAGCCCAGAGCAGCCCTCGCACTTTTCTTGAGTTCAAGGACTAGGATTGTGCTAGGGCCCTTCGCAGGGAAGCCAGGGATGCTTGTTTCCCATTCCCGCCTTCTTGCACTGGTGGGAGGCTGAACTTAGCTAGCATGGATCATAGTTACACAGAGGTCTCAGTGTGGTTAGTGTCATGTACTTCTTGTATAGAGTTGGTTGCCTGGCTGCTACTTGCAAGTCAGGCTTCTGTATCAGATATACATGGATTACAAAGCTTCCTTCTCAGAGATACACTCCAGATGTGTTCACTATACGGTTTTTTGATGCTCTGCCGGGTATGGCTAAGGTTAGCTTAAATGCGGCATTTGACACCCAGCGCCACCTTGTGACTGAACTGTATAATTGAGTTTAGCACTCCATTAGTTAGTTTTACTCTTCAGACACAGGGGTATTTAGTATAATGTACAAACCTTGCTGTTTTTCTATAAGGTCAGCAGTCCAGAAAAACATTTACAGTCTGTCTAGACATCAAAGACGTCTGATTAGATACACTACTGTAAGTTCCAAATAACCTGTAAATAATTTATGTGCAGTGCTGTTAAAATAAGACCTGCCCTCACCCCACCCTGGGGACTTATTGCAATACAAAATGCTTTCATATTTCTTTTCCCACATAAAAGGCTGGATGAACAGGATTTAATTACTCAGACCATACCTTGTAGCTTTTGGGTCCCAAATAACGATGTCAGCATCAGAACCCACAGCAATTCTTCCCTTCCTCGGGTAAAGGTTAAAGATTCTAGCTGCATTTGTGCTGGTAACAGCTACAAATCTGTTTTCATCCATTTTACCACTGTGCTGCAAAACAGTACACATGGAAGCAAAAACACTCATTTTGTCCGGAAGGAATTATTTAATTCCTGTAATCAAAAACACATGGCTGAGTGGTGTAGAGGTCTCACCTAACACCACATCAATCTTTTCAATAACTATCTGTGCTGTATTGATGAGTTTAAATGAATCATGAATATCATAACACTGAGACACACATTGTAACGTACATTAGCTGAGTTTGATACAATAATTTTCTTTTAACTTTCCAAAAGTGGCACTTCAAAGAGTAGCTGCCTATGGATCTGATCCCAAAGCCAACTGAAATCAATGGAAAGACCCCATTCATATCAGGTGACTTTAGATTGGGCTCTATAATCCTTCTAAATTTCACCAGTAGATGCCACATGTTCCAGATAGCTCTGGTAAGTATTAAGATGCAAGAGAAGAATCATTATAACAAGGTGGACATTAAGATGATCTGTGAATGGGTAACAAGGAGGCAAGGCAATACTGAATTGTACTACACAGAAAGGTGGTCTGCAAATCTCTTCCCTACTGGTATTACTCAGTAAACATTCTGGATTAAATGGTATAGAACAGGGGTGGGCAAACTATGGCCTGCGGGCCAGATCTGTCCCATCAGCCATTTTAATTTGGCCCTCGAGCTCCTGCTGGGGAGCGGGGTCTGGAGTTTGCCCTGCTCCAGCACTCCAGCCGGGGAGCAGGGTCAGGGGCCGCTCCTAGCAGCTCCTGGAAGCAGCTGCATGTCCCCCCTCTGGCTCCAGCCCACACACTGCCCCGGCCCCAAGCACCACCCCCACAGCTCCCATTGGCCGGGAACCACAGGGTGGTTCAGGGGTGGCGCCTGCGGATGGGGCAGCGTGCAGCAGAGCTGCCTGGCTGCGCCTGCATGTAGGAACCAGAGGGGGAACATGCCGCTGCTTCCAGGAGCTGCTTGAGGTAAGCGTCACCCAGAGCCTGCACCCCTGAACAACCCCCCCCCCGTGTGCCACCACCCCCAGCCCTGATCCCCCTTCCACCCTCCAAATCCCTCAGTCCCCGCCCGGAGCACCCTACTATACCCCAAACCCCTCATCCCCAGCCCCACCCCAGAGCCTGCACCCCCAGCCGGAGCCCTCACCCACCACCGCCCCCCACCTTCCCTGCCCCAGCCCGGAGCCCCCTCCCACACCCTGAACTCCTCATTTATAGCCCCATCATGGAATTTGCAGCCCCCAGCCAGAGCCCTCACCCCCTCCTGCACCCCAACCCCAATTTTGTGAGCATTCATGGCCCGCCATACAATTTCTATACCCAGATATGGCCCTAGGGCCAAAATGTTTGCTCACACCGGTCTATAATAAAGATTTATGGTGGGGAGACAAATGAAAGGAAATAAATAGTGACAGCCTTAATTGCACTGGTGCTCTGGAAGGAGAAAGTTTTAGCTATAAAAAAATCACCATACAATTCTACAAGTATGAAAAGAGAGAGATTTAATGACTAAGTCCCATTTGGTGATCTTTCCTGAAAAGTTACTTTGACCAAGGTGTTTCACTTTCAAAAGCAGCAAATGGTATGTGTGTTTAATGACTCACTTGCATATTCTGTCCTGATTTACATCCTTGGGAATCCTCCTGACATTACAGAGAGTGTAAATAAGGGCAGAATACCACCCGGAGTGTGTAACATGCATATTTGCTTTGCATCCCAAGTACAGGTTTACAAAATAGATCACAATCAATAGAGAGAGATGGGTGGGCATTTCTTAAGTGATAAATTAATATATTTTAAATGTACATTACCAGCAAAAAGCAACAGAGGGTCCTGTGGCACCTTTAAGACTAACAGAAGTATTGGGAGCATAAGCTTTCGTGGGTAAGAACCTCACTTCTTCAGATGCAAGTAATGGAAATCTCCAGAGGCAGGTATAAATCAGTGTGGAGATAACGAGGTTAGTTCAATCAGGGAGGGTGAGGTGCTCTGCTAGCAGTAGAGGTGTGAACACCAAGGGAGGAGAAACTGCTTCTGTAGTTGGATAGCCATTCACAGTCTTTGTTTAATCCTGATCTGATGGTGTCAAATTTGCAAATGAACTGGAGCTCAGCAGTTTCTCTTTGGAGTCTGGTCCTGAAGTTTTTTTGCTGTAAGATGGCTACCTTAACATCTGCTATTGTGTGGCCAGGGAGGTTAAAGTGTTCTCCTACAGGTTTTTGTATATTGCCATTCCTGATATCTGACTTGTGTCCATTTATCCTCTTGCGTAGTGACTGTCCAGTTTGGCCAATGTACATAGCAGAGGGGCATTGCTGGCACATGATGGCATATATAACATTGGTGGACGTGCAGGTGAATGAGCCGGTGATGTTGTAGCTGATCTGGTTAGGTCCTGTGATAGTGCTGCTGGTGCAGATATGTGGGCAGAGTTGGCATCGAGGTTTGTTGCATGGGTTGGTTCCTGAGTTAGAGTTGTTATGGTGCGGTGCGTGGTTGCTGGTGAGAATATGCTTAAGGTTGGCGGGTTGTCTGTGGGCGAGGACTGGCCTGCCTCCCAAGGACTGTGAAAGTGAGGGATCATTGTCCAGGATGGGTTGTAGATCACTGATGATGCGTTGGAGAGGTTTAAGCTGAGGGCTGTAGGTGATGGCCAGTGGAGTTCTGTTGGTTTCTTTTTTGGGCCTGTCTTGTAGCAGGAGGCTTCTGGGTACACGTCTGGCTCTGTTGATTTGTTCCTTTATTTCCTTGTGTGGGTATCGTAGTTTAGAGAATGCTTGGTGAAGATCTTGTAGGTGTTGGTCTCTGTCTGAGGGGTTGGAGCAGATGTGGTTGTACCTCAGTGCTCAGATCAGGATTAAACAAAGACTGTGAATGGCTATCCAACTACAGAAGCAGTTTCTCCTCCCTTGGTGTTCACACCTCTACTGCTAGCAGAGCACCTCACCCTCCCTGATTGAACTAACCTCGTTATCTCCACACTGATTTATACCTGCCTCTGGAGATTTCCATTACTTGCATCTGAAGAAGTGAGGTTCTTACCCACGAAAGCTTATGCTCCCAATACTTCTGTTAGTCTTAAAGGTGCCACAGGACCCTCTGTTGCTTTTTACAGATTCAGACTAACACGGCTACCCCTCTGATACATTACGAGCAAGAAATTCAGATTCACCAGGTAAAAGGAGTTCAATTCAAAATTCAATTAAACCAGTGTTCTCTAGAGCTTTTAATAGTACTGAATTGGTCAGAGTGTTCTACATTCCAGTGCCAACTCACCCAGCATGTGATAGATAATCAACACCTCTGAAAGCCAGGTCACTTATTTAGATTTCTAGCTTTAGTCATAAACGTTTGAAAAATGTGACTGCTAGCTTTCAGCTTTTGTTTATAGTCCAAAGGGCCTGATCCTGAGAGGTGCAGAGCACCTCCTTTGAGGGCACTGGATTCTGGAGTCAATGGGAATTGAAAATGTGTTACCAAAAATTGCATTTGGGTCCTTGCCGCTTCATCTAACCAGATGCCATAATAGCCAATCTAAGGGATCTGGGAAGCTAGTATTTTTAAGAAGTTACATTAGCTTTTGTTGGGGATATAGATGGATTTTTCTGCTCCAACATCAGCTTAATCATGAGAAAAAATACTCACCACTCCTTTTTCCCATATGACAGACATCCTGTCCTCTACACCGTTCACCCCGTTAGGGATCTTGGTGAAATCATCCTTCCCCAGAGCTTTCTGGCAGATGTCGAAGGTGCAGTTGTCAGTCCCTGTCACAGTTAGGTCATCACTATAAAGAAATGAGATATGCCATGAAGTGGAGTATGCCATCACACTCCTATGGACATGAGAGCTTGTGGGAAGGCTGGCCATGACACTAAGCTGGGGGGGAGAGGTAGATACGCTGGAGGATAGGGACCAGGTCCAGAGTGACCTAGACAAATTGGAAGATTGGGCCAAAAGAAATCTGATGAGGTTCAACAAGGACAAGTACAGAGTCCTGCACTTAGGACGGAAGAATCCCATGCACTGCTACTGGCTGGGGACCGAATGGCTAAGCAGCAGTTCTGCAGAAAAGGACCAGGGGATTACAGTAGATGAAAAGCTGGATATGAGTCAACAGTGTGCCCTTGTTGCCAAGAAGGCTAATGGCATATTGGGCTGCATTAGCAGGAGCGTTGCCAGCAGATCAAGGAAAGTAATTATTCCCCTCTATTCGGCACTAGTGAGGCCACATCTGGAGTACTGTGTCCAGTTTTATGCCCCCCACTACAGAAATGATGTGGACAAATTGGAGAGAGGGCAATAAAAATGATTAGGGGGCTGGGACACATGACTTACGAGGAGAGGCTGTGGGAACTGGGGTTATTTAGTCTGCAAAAGAGAAGAATGAGGGCGAATTTGATAGCAGCCTTCAACTACCTGAAGGGGGAGTTCCAAAGAGGATGGAGCTCGGCTGTTCTCAGTGGTACCAGATGACAGAACAAGGAGCAATGGTCTCAAGTTGCAGTGGGGGAGGTCTAGGTTGGATATTAGGAAACACTATTTCACTAGGAGGGTGGTGAAGCACTGGAATGGGTTACCTAGGGAGGTGGTGGAATCTCCATCCTTAGAGGCCTGCCTTGACAAAGCCCTGGCTAGGATGATTTAGTTGGGGTTGCTTCTTCTTTGAGTAGGGGGTTGGACTAGATGACCTCCTGAGGTCTCGTCCAATCCTAACCTTCTATGATCTGCAAATGCTGCAGAATGACAAATGTATCCCCTTCTTGAGGTTTGACTTACTTTGTTGTTTCAGGTTTCAGAGTGGTAGCTGTGTTAGGCTGTATCAGCAAAAACAACAAGGAGTCCTTGTGACACCTTAGAGACTAACAAATTTATTTGGGCATAAACTTTCGTGGGCTAAAATTTGTTAGTCTCTAAGGTGCCACAAGGACTCCTCATTGTTTTTGTTGTTTCAGTCACCAATAAAGTCTCAGCTTAAGCATTCTCCTCATGGCTGGTTTCCTAAGGGTTCCTGCGGGACCCCACAGTCTCTGCCCCTCCTTCCTTCTGAGTAGAGGGTCATGCTGCTGGAGGGAACAAGCCCTAACTGGCACTATGAGTCAGCAGAATTTACTCAGCAGTTTGATGCAGGGTTCAAACTCCTGCTAACCAAAAGAGTCAGCCAAGGAGCCGGGCATCCCAAAGTGTGGTTACAGATCCTGCCATCTGATTACACCTTTTCTGCCAAAGTGCAGCCTTGCTGCCCCCATTACTCCTTTGCTAGCAACTTTATTTATTTGAATACAGAAAGTGCTGTAGCTGTGACCCATTAATAAATCATCTAATGGGTCTCATACACAATACAGCAGGACTTCTCACTGCTTTTTAGTCTGCTTACTTGGCCAATAAGTTCATGAGGAAATCAGGTGTTGAAGGGTCTGGCCTCAGTGGAGGTCCCATGACATGTCCTGCGGCGTGATGCCATTCTTTATGCCAGTAGTGAGTGCCATCTGTACCAAGACTAGCAGCAATAGGTTCCCCATATACTACCTTCCCTGGAAAACAAACATGAGGAGTTAATATAATCATTAAAAAGTATTTAAGGCAACAAATACTGTAAAATGCTGGTTTTGTAGTTTCTCTTCCCTGCTCTTCCTAAAGATGGTGAATTTAAGTTTGAAAAAACATGTATAGTCTCTGTCATCTTAAACTAGATACTAATGTACAGTAGAATACAACACGTAAACTGTAATACAGCATCTCCATTATGAATATGTTATTGATCATCCTCTGATATGTTTTCTTATGTTGCTTGGGAAAGCTTTTTCAATTATATTTCTGTCAGACATACTATTATTGATTTTTTATATTGTTTGCTTAGTGTGTAGACATTTCAAAAGGAACATAGTCCCAGGTTACATTAAATTATATCAGAGGTCTGGAAGTTTCTTCATAATGGGATAAATATATTTGGAATGATTGTTCTTCTTGGCATTATAAAATGTGTCAATTATGTGGTGATACAGAGAGAGAGACCTTCCAAGTTTACATTTTTAACTGTCTGAACTACAATTGTGTAACAGGTAATCAAGAGAACAAAACTCACTTGGAGTCATTTTGGAGAGATGTTGAGCTAAAAAAGCTAATAAAACTTCTGGTCAACCACAGGGACATTTTTAATCACTGTAACTTTAAAAGTCTTGGGGGAAAAAAAAAAAAAAAACAACCCACAAGCCTCACAGGAAAATTCTACCCAGATGTATCATATGAAATTTCAGGGGGAATGTTTCTCTCTGGGGAAGGTGGTAGTGCTGGAGTTTGAAAATAAAATGATTACTAAAAGTACCAACCTTAATTACAGAGTGGCTACTTCACCACACAATCAATGGAAAAATAAAATTTTAACAAGCATTATCAAAAACATAGATGATATCAGATAATTTTAAATGACTTTCACTGGTATTATCACTGCACATTCACTGAGAAGGCCCTAGTTCTGGTGAACCTCTATAACAGAATATTGAAATCAAAGATGCAATATATCTGGAGTCTGTAACATTACAGCTGGTTAACTGAAATCAGGCTGCCCAAAATATCATAACGGTTCCAGGTGTGACTGGCTATGTTCCCTGCAGCTGCCCTACAACCTGTTTAAAGGAATAAACAGTAATACTTTTTATGTATCTATATACAGCACTTTACAAGCATAAACTAATTAATCCTTACCATACCCTTATGAAGGAGATAAATATATTTTACTATCCCTATTTTACAAATGGGGTAAATAAGGCAAAAATGGCTAAGCAACTCTCCCAAGATCACTGAAGGTTTCAATGTCAGAGCCAGGATTGAACTCAGTAGTTGCTGGCACAATACTATACTTGCCCTTTTCGTGGGGTGACTGGTATCCCGCTACTGTGGAATTAATGAACCTTCATGGGTGCACCTACAAAGCTTGATGGAAACTTAATGAACTATAAATGTTTCTGTAGTGGAGAGCTATCTGCATGCTTTGATATGAGCCACAGTAAAACATGACTGCAAGGTTTGAACACGTGAGGTTCCTAAACACTGGTCCTCTGTTTGGTTCAATGTTTTATTTGTACATGGGAATGCCACAACATATCTACAGCCAGACTGAAGGATGTAGGATTTGTTTATTAGCAGGCTTGTGTGCAGTGACACATTGCAGGATTATCATGATTTTTAAACATCACACTTGGCATGAAAAGTGCAGGGAAGGAAGGTCCAGTGGTTAGGGCACTAGGCTTGGGCTCAGGGGACTCTAGTCTTGTTCTCTACTTTACAACAGATTTCCTGTGTCATCTCAGGAAAAGCACTCAATCGCTCTGTGCCTCGATTCCCATTTGCAAAATGGGGATAATAGCACTGTCCTGTCTCAGAGAGGGAGTGGGGGGAGAAATACAATAAAGGTTGTGAGGTGCTCAGATACTGCCTACCATAAGGAAAGCTGGTCAGGAATTTTTTTTTTTTTTTAGTTAAGAATGATTACATCCAAAAATATCACCATATGTCAAAACCAAAACTCTTGTGGGGAAAGGTTTTTCAGGTGCAGGATGGAAATTCTTTTCAAAGCCACAGATATACAAAGCCCAGGGGTTTGGGCACAGACCTGGGATTTGGGGACTTGGGTTCAGAACAGGGAACTTGAACTCCAGACTCCCATGTCCGTGAGTGTCCTAACCACCAGCCTATGGCTTTCTTTTCTCTCTTCCCACCTCTCCTCCTGCCATGATGCAGAATGGGGGAAAATTGTGGGGCAGAAAAGCCCAGCTCTAATCATAAACATATGTACTATACAAGTATATGTACTATCATACAAGTATGATAGATACATAGATTCATGCTGTGATGACTGTCAAAGAGCTTGGACCCATATTGGTGAAGCTACGCCACAGAGTAAATAGATACATTACTACAAACAGGTTACAGTATCCACACAGAGGATTGCATGGCTCAATTTCTATCATTTTTCTCTGGGCCACAAGATTGTTGGGAAAGTTTCCAACTCAAGGGGTGAGTTATTATCCAGTGCTAACACACTGTGCAGTATGAGGGAAGGATGTTGCACTGTGACAAGTGCTACCCCAATTTAAGGTCTCCTCTGAAGGGCAACTTCTGTTTGTGGCTCTCCCAGTGGAAATTAAATGTCCCCTCACACCTTCTGAAAGGGATAAGGCATAGCCTCACCAAAAAGCTAGATCTCAATAAACCAGATTCTGATGTCTGTGTGACTTTTATTTGCACACAGACAGCCACTGCATTACCGGTATGTAATTCACTTATTTGTGAATGTCTGTGAGATGACAAAAAAAAAAAAAAAACATCTCATTCATTCAATGTCAAGATAATCTAGTGCCACCAGTTCACAGGGGCTGAAGTTTTCAGACATGCAAGCAGTGCCTTTCTTTGGTGATTGGCATTCTTTTTAAGTTATATTCTCAGCAGGTGTTGTACCATTCCTCAATTGCATTGTGAAGATTAGGTATACAAAAATGTTGTAGGACCATTTTTAAGCTTCGATCAATCCTGATAAGCCTGCAGCTATTGGTGTAGGGCTTCTAGTACTGCTCTAATTTTGTTCTCCAGCTACATCAGTTACCAGATGGTTTCAGCATCTCTCAGGACACAGATATTAGTAATCTTCTCCCATTGGCTCAGTTTGCTTTGGTTTGTCACATACTGGTGAATGTTATTTTTCTCATTATTACTTGGTCTTTGGCTTGCAGAGTTTTAAGCTTCCAGACCCATTTATCTAATTGTATTATGGAGTTAGGCAAAGAGAGGAGGAGAAAGATACAAAGAAAAGAAGATGGGAACCCCAGGACTCTCTTCCAAGACCTAAGCAGTAGATCCTTTGTATTATATCCATTTATTTTCAAACTTTAAAGGACGGGATTCTGCACTGCCTTCTAAGAGGCACAACACAAAATTCACAGCCACGGTTTGGGGTGCGGGGGATTTGAGTTTAGGCCACATGTGCTCTCCCAGTTCTGGGCTGCCACAGGGGCCTGAGAGACCTCTGAGGGAACAGACATTTCTGAGGGTTTGCTGAGGTTACAGCAGCCTGTCTTCAGCTGCCTGTGGGGGGCAGCTCCACCTACACCTTCAGCCTGCAACACTCCTCTCCCACACTCACCATGCCTCCTACCCTGGGTCTTGTGGCGGCAGTGCTTATGCAAAGCCTGTGCGGGGGCGGGGGAGGTTCACTGTGAACTACTGTGAAAAAAGCCTGCAAAAATGGCACTGTGGGGTTCCGTGATTGTCTGCCAATAGTTCCATATCTGAGTTTCAGCATTTACAAGTGCATAGATGTTTTCAATTCTCAGCCCAGCACACTCTGGGATAAATGAGTCAAGCTGGTTCTTTCTGGCTCATGTATCATCACTCATGATGAAGTTTCTGCAATCAGAACATAACCCAAGGTGCTCCCATGAGTGGGAAGGAGCATAAACCTGCAGATTCATTTTCAATAATGGCCTTGAGTCTAGCGTGCTGCAGCTTCACCAGGTTAAATTTGGACATTTTTGCTGATTTTACTATTTCTTGCATTTCATTCTGACCATGACTCACTGAATTTAGTGGTAAAATAATATTATAACCTACCTTAAACCAACAAGCAAGGACATTCTGAGGGAAGGCTCTATTAGCTCAACCTGCTTGTGCCTATAGACACTATACTGGGGTAATGCAGTGACAGATCAGACCCATAATGCCTTTGCATTTGTCACATTTTCTTGTATTTAATAAAAATACTAAGCAGGAAGCAAGCCCCTTCCGGTCATTTTGACTGCTTTTGCTGTACTTTAAAGTCAGTTCTGTTTGAAAATAGTTGTGGTTCTTAGTTGTCTCTTCATTAAACATTTAGCTGGGCTGGCACTGGCTGCTTCCACATGAATTGGTCTATCAGTAAGTGCACTGCCTGCTTCAGATTTATTGTCAAACCTCTCTGCAGTTCAAGGAGAGGTATAATCTTGAGACCCATCAACTGAAATCATGTCACACTTGAAGATTTGATCCTTGCATGTTATTTATTGGGATAAAATTTTCAGAAGCATGTAAGTGATTTAAGAGCCTAAATCCCATTTTCAGAAGTGAGATTTACACATCTGCAATTCAGAGCCTAATCTGACCTGTCAGCTGAACCTTAGCTGGAATGGTCTTCAAGGGCTTTGTTCTGTATGTTTAGTCCAGCAATCTTCTTACTCTACAGGGACATTCTGTTTATAATTTGGCCAATTTTGGTATGTTGTTTTTGGATCAATCTTTTAAAAATCCAGGGGGCTGGATTTTTTAATTGGTCAAAATCCACTCTCAGGCCCTATGTACATTAGAAAGTTTTGTGCTTTAACTATAGTGGTACTCCCCCCACTCCCATAAAACATGGACACAGTTATACCAGAAACAAAGTGCTTACTGTATATTGGTATAGCTATTCTGTAGGGGAAGCGGAATAAGCTATACAAGTAACCTTTATACCAGTACCCACACTGGGGCTTTTACAGGTATAAACTATTTCAGTCAAAAAACCCACACGCCCAACTGAAGTAAAAGCTTTTCCGGTAAAACTTTTAAGTGTAGGCCAGACCTCATTTCCCTCATGTAAACCTGGAGCAACTCAATGAAGTAATTCCAGATTTCTCCAGGGTAGCAGGAAGCAGAATGCAATTTGTTCTTTGTGCCTAGTCACCAGTAATCCTACATGGACTCCAGGACATACATATAACATGAAGGAGACCTTATAAGTGTTACAGGTTTTGCCAGCATTACAGAATTCTGTATTGACACAGCGTAGTGCAAAACACCTTTTCCTGTCATCTGGCCTTTACATTTGCTTGTCAAAATTTCTGCTTTCACCTGGATATTTTGACTGAGTTTGCAGTTTCTTATATTTGATTCTGACACCACTTCACTGAATGAATTTACAAAGGCATACAGCAAGTTGGATTCCATATTACTACAAAGAGTGTCACCTAGTGGACAAATCTAGTTTAGCACAGTATTGATAATCTGCTGCTAAATAGGATACAGGTAAAAGGTTCCTTTACATATTTGAATCAATAAGACAGAATCTTATTAGAATACATAATACATTGGCTATCTCCAGTATGTCTATACTTCAAAACAGGATGTGGGTAAACATTACTTTAATCTTATATGTAACAATATTACTGTGCACTTCTATGGAACCTTCCATCCATTATCTCAAAACACTTTAAAGAATTTAATCAAGCCTACAAGGTAGGCCGGTATCCAAAATGTATAGACAGGGAAACTGAGGCATACATGGATCACGAGGGAAGCCAAGTGGGATCTGAAAAGGCTAGTAATCCATAAGGATTTGGGCCCCTTCCATCATGGTTAGAGCTGTGTGAATAGCTGATTTTTCAGTTTGCTGACAGGTCAGAAAATATGGAAAAATAATTTCATTCAGGTCAAACTAAAACCAAAATCCTTCAAAATTTTTGGTGAATCCAAAAGGTTGGAAAAGTTTCACATCCTGTTGACTGACATGTTTTGGTTTGAGGCATTTTTTGAACGTTGTTTAAATGTGAAGAAAATGACAGGGGAGACAGTGCCCCTCCCCCCCCCCACTTTATCCCAGTGGGGAGAGCACTCACCTGGGATGTGGGGCCTCAAGTTGGGCACCCAAAATTAGTGAGCACTTTATCAAATACTGACATTATCCAGTCTGTTTGTGACATCCCACGACTTGATTAAAAACCAAGTGCACTAATAATTCAGAACGTCAGTGCAAGGGCCAGACTAAAGCTTTTGTACACAAGGGCAGCATGAAGTTAATGTCCAGGCTACTCTCAAATGCTCCTGTTTCCTGCTATCAGAATTCCTCATATACCAAGTAGATAGTGAAAATTAGAGAGAGATTTTCCTCTTGCAATTAAGCAAACTGTTTTATTTTTATTAAAGCAGCAGCTGACTCAGAAATTCACTGTAGTTTTATATCTCTGTGCCATGACATAGTGAGCAACCGTGTATGTCTAACACACAGAGGACAAGTACACTCAACCTCTATATACTGCTCGGAGCTACTGTATTTCTCTCCCCTCCAGCAGCAGCTTAAAATGCCCCTACCCACCTCCCAACTATCATCCCCACCCTCAGCCCCGACAGGAACCCCAACTGAGGAGCCAGCTAAGACACCTTCCTGCAACCATCCTTCAACAAGCATGACCATTACTCTCATGCCCTGGACCAAGCATGAATGTGCAGTAGGGCAGTTACCTTCTCTTCGTGCATTAGCTATCACCTTCGCTGCAGATTTGCTCATTACATGAACTACATAAAGAGGGCAGTTCACTGAGTTTGCTATGGTGATTGCTCTCCCTGTGGCTTCTGCTTCCACCTCTTCAGGACGACACAGTGCATGTCCCTCAGGGCCAGTTATCCCCAGTGCTAACATCTTCTTTGCACCCTACAGACCACACAAGAATACATATATGTTAGCATTGCTTTAATTAGCAGTGTCAATTATATAAGTGCAGCAGTGGTTTGGCCAACTGAGCTGTCAGCTGATCTGGGTTCTAATCCAGACACTGCAACCGACTTGCTGTGTGACACTGGGTAATTCACTTAGGATGGGATTTTCAAGAGCACTCAGCACTGGCCTACTTCTGCTTCCATTGAAGTCAAAGGTCAGACTCCAATATTTAGAGGGGTGATTTCAAAAATGCCTAAGAGACTTAGAAGCACAAGTGCCACTGGCTTTCAAAGATGCTTAGGTGCTTTTGAAAAGCCCACCCTGAACATCTGCGTGCCCGAGTGGACCAATCAGTAGCACAGATACTTACCCACATTATAAAGATACTTAACTACCTGTGTAAAGTACTTTGGGGTCTAGGGATGAAAAGGGGCTAGATGAGCATGAAGTATTATAATTGTCATTGTGTTACAAGTGTTTAAACACTCACTGGTTTGTAGTTTAGTGACAAATGCATTCCTTATTGAGGGACTCTGGAGACTATTGAAGTATCTTTGGCTAGAATAGTTGAAGAAACTATAACCTGCATGGGCAGGACTCTAAGTCATAGCGTGGTGCTTAGGTGAAGACACAGAAGTTACACACCAGCACTAGAGTAAGCAGAAGCTACATATAGATACAGGGACCTTGAGACTTGTGCTCACCCAGTGGACTCTGGAGCCTCTGTGTGCCTGACTCCATTACTCATAAATGCACTGGGTAAAACACGCACGGGGAATGGCCATGTCTGAGGAGACCTGGAGTTAAGTACTATCCTCATCATGCCACTGAGGCACTTAGCCAAGTGTTCCTCCCACTGACCTCACTCCTGCTCTTCTGTGCTCACTCTTCTTGGCAGCTGTGCGGTAATGATCTCATTATAGAAGCATCATTTCCCACCCCACCACATACTCCTGGGCCTACTCAGTGCTTTTCACTTCATGTAGATAAGCACAACCCACTAACTACTTAAGGGAGCTAAACTATGTATACAATAAATAAACACAACATTAGTCTTCACGTTCATGCACAGTTATTCATTTGACATGCCTAAAAGAAATTCAGAAACATTAAGGGCCTGGTTTAAAGCTCACCAAAGTCAACAGAAGGACTCCTGTTGATTTCAAAGGTGTCTGGGTCAGGCCCTAAAAAGAATTTGATGATTTACTTTGCACTAAGTAGGCTACTTGGCATCATCCAGCACCTATCCAAAATCAAATGGATCCAGTGGTTAGAACACTAGCGTAGCATTCAGGACACGTGGATTTAATTCCCTGCTCCAGCACAGAGACTTTGGGCAAGTCACTTAACCTCAATTCCCCATAAGTAAAATGGGGATAACAGCACTTCCCTACATTATAGTAAAGACAGTGAGGCAGCCTGGTAGTGTGGGAATGGGAGACACGTCAGTACCTTTGACTTCCAAATTTTAAATCATTGCATCCAACACCTACCTCTGCAATCAAATCCCCATTCTCTGCATGGACCTGAGCAATCGCTCCAATTTGCTTACACTGGGAAAAAGCTGCATATAGTTCACTATCTTCAACCATATACAGATCTTTATAGGCCATAAACATCTTGAAGGAGTTGACCCCTTTGTCTTCAGCAAGAATTCTCATTTCTTCCTTGACCTGAAAGAAAAACAATGTCAACAATTCCCACAATGCAGCTGTGAAAAATATAATGGTTATCTTTTCCACGTCTATCAGCCTTGCTAAACTGCCATGGGGAGATGAGGATAATGAACAACCCAATGATATTTTACTTGCCCATCAAGAAAAAATTTACTCAGTCCAAGCAAGTGTGGAAAGTAAAATGTTTCAGGGCAATTTATATAGCTCCTTTTATATCAAAGTGCTTCGCAAACTACATACACACACATATAGATGTCCAAGACACAAAGGATTTTCAAAGACTGGACATTTTTACCAAAGAAATTGGTGCAAAGAGCCTGGAATTTGTGGAAAGAGCCCTGCACTATATGCTGATTAATATTCAATTTCTCTCTCTCAAAAGGTTAGAGAGTGGAGTAGGTCTGGGCAAGTTTTGATCCAGGAGTTTAGATCTTTCAGATCAGATGCTAAACCAACTGTGTCCCTTCTGGGAATTAACCTCTGGCATACTCAAAGAGTAAGGACAAATCTGGAATGACTGATAAGGAAAAGGTTTCTGCTGTTTAGGGCTGTGACCTGGGGGCTACGTAATATTCAGTCATTTGGGATATTTTGTTCCAGTTCTCAAAAGCAAATCTAATCATCATCTGCATGGAAGCCTCCTTTGTCTCTTGCATGTATCCCAAGGCATGGGATCTCTGGGCTCGGTAGACTCAAAGGCCCAGATCACTAACAGTATATCCCGGAGCTGGAAGGGATTCATGTTTCATAGCCCTGTGTTTCCCACCATGAGTACTAACTGGACCCAGAGGCATCTTCTAAACCCCCAGACCTCTCCGTGGTAACCAAAGGGTTCTCACAGGCTGGTGCCTTAAAACCTTCAGCTTGCTTTTTTAATTTGTTTTTGTTTTGCGGGCAGGTTGAATTTTACTGTTGGGATTTAAAGGCAACTTCTTCCCAGGCATGTTGGGAAGTTAGCAGATTCTGGACTGACAAGATGGAAGCAAATAGGAAGAAAGACCCCCATGTAGTGTGCTCTGTTAAATGTATTGGTTTAAAGGCATAAGCCTGTAATAGCTGCTAGGCCACCAGGGAACTTGGGAGAGTGAGGGCAACCAGGTGAGGATTTCTGGGCCCAGCCCCTGTGTGTTTTATGGATGGCCAAAATTTATATTTAGATTAAAAACAGCCAAATTCCAGAATTTGGAAGAGACCCTGGAACTGGAGGGGAGGGAAGGAGTGTATATGCCCCATCTAGGGAGCCTCTCTCTCCAATATCGGAATATGTGCCCATCTGGGAAGCCCCTCTTGCCCCTCCCCCCCCCCATTATTCCAGCGCATATGCCAATCTGAGAAGCCTTTCCTTTGCCATTCTAGGGCATACTCCTATTTGGGCCTGAATATGCCTGATAAATTGCAGTCTGTGTCATTAGTAGGAGACACATCACAGTATCACTTTGCTGGGTCTTGGTCACCCGCTAAAATTGTTTCTTTATAGTGATGTAAGGCAGTGTCATGGATAAGGAACAGTGCTGAAAATTCAGAGACCTGGGTTTTATCATCTGAACTGACACAGACTTCCTGGGACCTTGGACAAGTCATTTAGACCCTGAGCCTGCAATTGACTCTGCTTGGGTGGAACCTTAGGGTTCTGCATAGGTGCAGGAATTTGCCCACATTTAGCCAGTTGCAGGTTTGGAGCGTTAACTGCTCAATAAAATGAAGATGATAATACAATACTTCTGACTGTTACTTTGAAATCCTCTGAGGATTATTATTAAATGATCATTAATTATGATCTCTAACATCTGGGTGGGTCTACTCTAGGGAACCTATGAGATCCATTAGACCCAAGAGAGACTTCTGAACTGGATATTAGAACATTTACTCTAGGATCAGAGCTGTCAAACATTTAACACACTTGCTATATTCATGTACGTGTGGCGGGGCGGGGTGGTGGTGGAGATGACAAACTAATAGGTCTGTTTTGTCTTTAAACTCTAGGATCTGGTAAAGGAATTCTAAAGAATCTAAGTTTTCTGTTGCATTACATTAGAATTAGATGCAGTAGCTGCTAGAGCATGAGGAGCTGGTGGCATACCAAAAGGGCATGACATATGTACATGTCTTCATCTGGTTTGCCCAGCTTTCCCTTTCTGTCTGAAAAATGTAGGGACTTCCATTTTTCTTGATAAATTAAATGCATTTATGCAGCCCAAGACTACAGAACAAAATGAATGGAATTATCAATATAAAACCAGGGCATGTCACTAACTTACATTTAGCCAGCGTTAATGGTATTTTCTACTGTCCTAAGGCTCATGCATTAAGCTTTACTGGCTAATTTATTTGATACCTTTTATACCATTACAAAGTTGTGACCAATGCATGAAGTCCCATGCCCTGGGTGTTACAGGACTACTGTCTTAGTGTGTAATTTTGGGAGTTAAAAATAGGAACTGGAAAGAACCATCTATTAGTATCATACCATTATTAATAGAGCACCTCACATTCTATATGATCCCAAAGAATGGGTCTCGTTCTGAGAAATGCAAAATTCCTGAAAGTCCCATTGAAATCAATGGAAATTTTAGGTGATCATCAGGGTCTTAGTACTTCTCTTGGTCAGGCCCAGTATACACAAGAATGAATGGGGTTTTCCTGGAGATCTCTCAGTCAAGAAATTGACAGCCCCAATTGTGTTCAGTTTGTGAGATCTAACAAAATCACAGACTAAGGCAATACTACCGCAGGCCTTTGCAAATACAGGTAAGTATTAATACATTTTACTTATGTTAGCATGTTACACTTTACATCTGAAATCTAGTTATGAATAATTCAACTTAACATTAAGAAATCAATATAGCGTCAACACACTATTGTATCTACCTTGCTGCTCCACCATGTAACTGCCACATGCAGTGCATAATCACAGCAGACTTTAGGATCTGCCCAGCTCCTCCATGTGTCATAGGCTTCAACAAGGGAACAGCCTTTCTGAGGTATTGCAAAGTCGATGATCATAGTGGTGCCTCCTGCTAGAGCAGCCTGAAATCACAGGAGTTGCAGTTATTTAGCCATCGGTGATGAAAGGTTCCTCTCACTTCGGGTATGTCTACACTACGAAATTACTTCAATTTTACAGAAGTCGATTTTTGGGAACAGATTAGATTGTATAAAGTCAAGTGCACGCGTCCACACTAAGCACATTAATTCGGCGGTGTGCATCCATGGAACCGTGGCAAGCGTCGACTTTCGGAGCGGTGCACTGTGGTAGCTATCCCACAGTTCCCGCAGTCCCCGCTGCCTATTGGAATTCTGGGTTGAGCTCCCAATGCTTGATGGGGCCAAAAATTTGTCACGGGTGGTTATGGGTAAATGTCGTCAGTTAAGCCCCTCTCCGTGAAAGCAACGGCAGACAATCATTTTGCGCCCTTTTCCCTGGATTGCCCGAGCAGACACCATAGCACAGCAAGCATGGAGCCCGTTCAGCCTTTTTTCCACTGTCACCGTATGTCTACTGGATGCTGCTGACAGACGTGGTACTACAGTGCTACACAGCAGCAGCTGCAGCTCTTTGCCTTTGTAAGTTAGCAAAGACGGTTACCAGTCATACTGTACCGTCTGCTGCTGTCATGGGTGCTCCTGGCCGGCCTCTGTGAGGTTGGTCGGTGGCGCCTAGACAAAAATGGGAATGACTCCCCAGGTCATTCTCTTCTTTAAGTTTTGTCTAATAGAGATTCAGTGCGGCCTAGAATATCAGGCAAGCCTACTAAAGAACCACAGATGCAAGCGGCCGCTCGGGGTCAGAGCCCCAGACATCCCGCAGAAATGATGAGCTGCATGCCATTCTAGGGGGTGCCCGTACAACAACTCCACCCATTGCTTCCCTCCTCCCCAACCCCTCCTGGGCTACCTTAGCAGTTATCCCCCCATTTGTGTGATGAAGTAATAAAGAGTGCATGAATTTGAAACAACACTGACTTTATTGCCTCTGCAAGCAGAGATCAAAGGGGGGAGGGGAGGGCGGTTGGCTTACAGGGAAGTAGAGTGAACCACCATTCTGCACTTGCTCAGCCTATAGTCTGTCCATCATGGCCTTGGAGATTTTTTTTTAATGTTTTGGGATTCCGTCTTTTGGAAAGGAGTTCCGATAGCATGGATTCGTCTCCCCATACAGCGATTCTGGGACTGCATGGTCACCTGTGCTGATGAGCTCTGCATGGTTACCTGTGCTGATCAGCTCTCCACGCTGGGGAAACAGGAAATGAAATTCAAAAGTTCGCAGGGCTTTTCCTGTCTACCTGGCCAGTGCGTCCGAGTTCAGATTGCTGTCCAGAGCGGTCACAATGGTGCACTGTGGGATAGCTCCCGGAGGCCAATACCGTCGAATTGCGTCCACACTAACCCTAATTCGAACCGGCAATGTCGATTTCAGTGCTACTCCCCTCGTCGGGAAGGAGTACAGAAATTGATTTTAAGAGCCCTTTATGTCGACAAAAATGGCTTCGTTGTGTGGACGGGTGCAGGGTTAATTCAATTTAATGCTGCTAAATTCGACCTAAACTCGTAATGTAGACCAGGCCTTCTCTTCCTTCTCCATGATGTTGCTACATCTTGTATATCTTCAAAATCAATATTTCCTCTCTATGCCCACCTTTGTCCGTGCATTGAAAATCTATATGCAATTTAAGACTCATCTTGTATGAAATCTGAGTATAGAGTGTGATGGTGCAGAGACCTACCTGATTTCCATCAAGTAGGACTTTAACTTTCTGCTTAGGTGTGTCACAGATGTAAAGGGCCAAGTAATGAAGCAGGGCTGAGGACTGGGGTCCCAACCAGGCATTCAGAAGGAACACAGGAAACTAAGACTAAACAAATTAGATAGTTACACAGGCCCCAAACTGCACTAAAGATTTGAGAGTCTGCAGCATTCCTGCATCATTGAACGTCTCTAACCAGCTGGTACATGAAACAGGGAGAAAAGTGCCAGAACCACCGTAGGCACATAAATCAAAGTGGGTATGCTTTTCCAGGGTCTGATGAGTTGGCAAAATAAATCCAAATATCAGCAGAATAACAATGGAGGCAGAAAGGATGCCTTTGAATTATGGTACCTCCAATATAGAACAGCATCAGTTTAAAAACCTGAGCCTTGTGGGACACCAAAATTACTTTAAAAGTATTTTTTAAATGTATTTATCAATTGAAAAAGGGGATAACCCAGGGAAATGGCAAAACTCACAGATGACGCAAAGTTAGCTAGGTAAATCATTACTAGAGAGGACTGTGAGGGACCTCAGAAAGACCTAATAAAAGGTAGGTGATGGGCTTCACAATGGCAAATGAAATTCAATGTTGAGGAATGTAGAGTAATGCAGACTGGAAGAAACACATTGCTGGGTTTTTCCGTAACTGTAACCAGTCAGTAAAAGACTTCCATCTCAATGTGGGCAATTCAATGGAAACCTCTGTTCAAAACAGCAATTATAATGCTTTTTATATAAATTAGTGGTATAGCCCCACCTGGAATACTAGGTTCAGTTTTGGTCACCCTATCTAAAAAAGGCAGCAGAAATAGAAGGGATTCAGAGAGAGGCAACAAAAATAATTAGGAAAGGCTCCTGTGTACAAAATGATTGAAAAGACTGGGACCATTTATTTTAGATAGGGAAAGACTAAGATGGACATGAGGTGCTGGGAAAACAAATCAGGTGCTCTTATTTATCCTCTCATACATAGTGCACAAATAAGGAAACATTCACTCACAATAAATTTAGGATTGATACAGGAAACATATTTTTCAACAGTCCACATTTAACCTCTGGAACTCATTGCCACAAGATATCAACTGCAAAAGCATGGCTGTATTCCAGAAAGGATTAGATAGTTACATGGAAATATCTTTTTACATGAAAAAAAACTTTTTTTGGTGGGGACACAAACACTCACACTTCAGACATAAATCAACCACCATCTGCATGGAGTTAGGAAGGAACTTGCCTTCTAAGGAGTATTATTCATTAATTGTCCACTGTGGTGTTTTCTTTGAAGCATCTTGTAGTAGGTCACTGTGAGAAATAGGATACTGGACTAAATAAAGCACCGATCTGCTCCAGACTGTCAATGCTCTTATTATTTAGTTTGATCAGCCAGAAGCTCTCCTCCTCTGAATAGTATCCCTTTGCACAGCTGTTAAGCCGAGGTCAGATCAAAATTCACTGGGGTTCACATTAACATTGCAATACTCTTTTCCTATTTCCATCTCACTCAGCCTGTTACTGCGTCTTCTCCTTTCCTAAACCTGTTTGCTGAAGCCACCAGAATTTACCATGAGTTATTTCTTCTTTCAACCTCTCAGTCCCTTCTTTATTTCCCAAAACAATTTAATATTCTACCTACCACTATCTGGATGCCAGAATTGGAAAATTTTTTGCCACAACAGCTTTTCTGTTTCTCTTTGTGGATTTCAAAGCAATGCTCTTAAAAGAGCAGTCAGGAGACTTTTGAAAATTCAATCGGTTTGGGTTTTGCAAATCACTTTTGTCAATGTCAGTGCAACTTTTCACACACATTTGCATTCACTTTATAGTGAGATTTTATTTTGAAACAAAAACAGCCCATCTCTCATAACACAAAATACAATAAAACCTTGTTGCTAAGCATTTTTAAAAAATAGGTATTTCCACCTCCTTATCCTGTCTGCCTATCTTTTTTTCCTTGACATCTGCAACTACAGATATGCAGTGCTTTTATTTATTAAACTAGAAGGACAACATTCAATCCCCTAGCTAATCATTTATACTACATTTCACAATGATTCTGATATAAATGTGGCCCTGTGATCCTTCTTGCTAAAGTATGTGCTTAATGATGCCTTAGGGCAGCAGTTTTTTATATTTTCCATACTGGAATCCCATTTTACAACAGAAGCAAAAAAAAAAAAAAAAGGTCCATCTTGCCAAGTATCCTGTCTCCAACAGTGGCCTGTACCAGAGCTTTGGGTGAGTGTACAAAACAGGTGGATCACTCCATAATTGCCCTGTCTTCCACTCCCAGGTTATGACAGTCAGAGGTTTAGGGTCACCCCAAGCATGGGGTTCCATCCCTGACCATCTTGGTGTAGCCCTGACAAATTAAGACACTGTATATTTCACACTGCTATACTGTTTATTGATGATCCCTCTTATATTTTATCCATTAAAACAGGTTCTTCCCCAAATTGGGCTACACAGAAGTTTCTCTTACAAAGGTTTCTATGTCTCTTTCTCTATAGGACCTACATCACATATTTCTTAATTCCTATGTGTAAATATGATCTAACTGTCTGGTTACTAGGGGTCCATGGCGGGGAGCAGGAACTGTGGCCAATGGGAGCTGTGGGGGCGGTGCCTGCAGGCAGGGGCACCAGGCGGAGCCCCCCCGGGGACTGCAGGGACGTGCTGGCCGTTTCTGGGAGCGGTGCACGGAGGGGGCACCATGCGATGCCCCCTGGCCCTGCTTACCTTGGGCAGCAGCAGGATTACAGCAGGCTCCACTCTCACAGCTCCTATTGGCCGCAGTACCCAGCCAATGGGAGCTCTGGAGTCAGTGCCTGGGGTGCGGGCAGCACGTGGAGACCCCTGCCCCTCCCAGGGGCCACAGGGACATGCTGGCCACTTCCGGGAGTGGCGCAGGCAGGCAGGAAGCCTGCCTTAGACCTGCTGCACTGCTGACTGGGAGCCGCCCAAAGTAAACACCGCCCAGCAAGAGCCCGCACCCGTCACCTTCTCCCACATGCCAGCCTCCTGCCCCAGCCCTGAGCCCCCTCCTGCATCCAAACACCCTCCCAGAGCCCACAACCGCTCCCTCACCCCAATCCACTGCCCTAGCTCTGAGCCCCCTCCTGGAGACTACACCCTCCACCCCCTCCCACACCCCAACTCCCTCCCTCAGCCCTGAGCCCGCTCCAGCACCCAAACTGCTTCCCAGAGCTTGCACCCCAACCTCCTGCCCAGGCTCAGCCCTTAGCATAACTACTCTTACAAGTCCTCAGACTAATATAG